AGCCACCAACTAGAAAAACAGATTAACAATTCCAAGCATTATTACAAGAAAGAAAACACCAAAAATTTCATAACAAAGACACAACAAGAGGGTATAAGTGTAAAAAAAAAAAAAAAAAAAAGTGTGTTTATATATTTATTTATGTTCATACTGAACTTACAAGTCAGGGAAAATTGCAGGACAGAAATTACACTATATATATACATATAACACCTTCCTTGAAATGCTGTCATTGCATGTAAAGGCTTTACACAAGCATTGGGACATAGTTAAAATGAGTACTAAAGACATACTGCTACTAGAACAATGATAGTGTTGTTATCCTCTCTGGAATTTGTTCTTTATCTGTTTCTCACTCCCATTGCTGCCAAACTAATTAAATATAAGGTATATTTTGGAACAAAAAGTGACAGCAAAAAGCTTTCCATCAAATTTTATAAGTGTTCCCACAAGTTGCTGCTCCATAGAAACAAATACAAATTTCATTGTCACACGTTGACAAACATCTTGATCTTTTTTATGAGGAGAGAACATAAAAGTGGTGCACAAAACTAAACAACAACTTAGATCTGGAAGACAAAAAAGTCATAACCAACAAAAAAATTGAGGACAGAAGGACATTTGTCTTTAAGATAGCAAAAAATAATTTAAGCAGATTTTTAAGAGTTGATTCTCTTGCTCTTAAAAAAAAAAAAAAAAAAAAAAAAAAAAAAAAAAAAAAAATAAAAAAAAATTTTTTTTTTTATTAAAAAAAAAAAAAAAAAAAAAGCTGTATTATATCTTTAAATCAAAAGTCATCTAATCTTATTTTATACCTAAACAAGAAAGAGTTATCCCCAAGACTCTAAAATATCCTAGATAACTTCTCTATAAAGACTCAAAAATAAAAATATGGATATCAACATTTTCAAAGGAAGATTAATTTATCTGCATTAACCTTGGAAACATTCAGTAGCAATCCAAATACCCAGAAAATATTTTGACTCAGAGAAGATCCTAATTGATTAACAATTTCACAGCAAGAATTCGTAAGGACTACCTACTATATGTTTGTAAGCACACTCTTTATGCAGAAATAAAAGCTGTAAGAAATCAGTGCTGAAGGTGTATCTCACTGTAGCACTCGGTATCTAATAAATGTTTCCTTTCTCAGTATACTACAAAACAATTCTTCCCTTGCCCACGAAGGTGAAGGAAAATTTATAATGGAAAGGAGATAGCAGTAACTGATACGATTGCTTAGAGCAAGAAGTAGCTAGAACTTCCAAGAGAGAAATCTAGTCCATTCTCTCCCCTGTAGGTTTCCTTGCACTACATGGAAAGAACACTTCTGCATAGGCTCCCTTTTGCTATTTCCATTTTTGGCCCACACCTCTATTTAGCACTTCATTTTAACCATTGGAAAGAAGTGCAAGAGAGTTACTCTTGCATAAGAATGTATCACAGCAGCAGAAAGTGTCATCTCATGTAGCACATAGAGGCCACCTATGAAAGGGCAAAGCTTCTCACTCCATCACTGAGGATGGCTGTTCAGTCAAGGCAACATCCTAGAAAGTGAAAGGATGAAGGGCACATTTAAAGCTCCGGTCTCAGACTAAAGGTTGGAGTAGTCTGCTAAAATGTGTACCTTTAAAAAGTTAGTGTAGGGGAGGAATATTGGAAAAGATTTCTCATTGTCATTATCCATCCCTCCCCATTAAATTCTCTGAGGCTTAAAAGTGCAAATGACACTTCATCACACCTAAACAACTTAAAGCAGCAGCCATCTCCTCATCCCAGCCTTTATTTCCCATAAATAATTTACACCAGCCCCTCACAAATCAATCTTGTAATTTTTTACTTTGGGAACTTAGCATGTTTTATTTTAGTGACTTATCTTTTCAAAGCTGAATCAGCTCTAGAGGAGCCTGTTTCTGTAATGTTATTTGTGATAAATGCAAAGTAAAGATAGCATGGAAAGGGAAGAGAATATACACATTTAATAGCAGTTTTTCCATGCTAGTTGCACAATAACACACTCTTAGTCATGCAGGGTAAAAATCAGGAGACACAAGGTGAGACATGGAAAAGGATGTTATGTTCTTCCCAAAAATTAATGCATGTACACTACTTGTTTAAAAGTCCAAATTAGTTGTCATACTAGATTTGTGTAAAGCTTTAGGAAAGAATGGTGTGAGGGCACTTTATAGAAAATTACACCATGTGGAGGGTATTTCACTAATTAACACCCCTTCCCAAAGAAATGCTTATGTCCTTTAAAGATAAGCTTCTTTTAAGTAGAGAAAAGACCCCAAACATTTGCAGAGCCCTGACTTCAACATCTGTTGGTATTCCCTACACACAAGTGTGCTTCTGTGTGCATGTTTATCAGAAGAGGTCATCAGGGGCTTGCTTGGTTTATTCATCATTTTAAGGCACTCCTATTTGCAAAGCTTCTGTTAATGTCAGTGAAATCTTACCCAGACAGAAGTTTCAGAGGTCACATATTTGGCATGCTACATTTAGAAACCCAAGTACAAAGTTGACGGGGACACTTCAAACACAGGGGATTACAGCGGAAATAGGTCTCCTTATACCAAACTGGCTATTGAGCAGATTCAGGGAAGAACACACCAATGCTGCATGATGCTATTAAAGCTCTTATTCTTGCTTTATTTTATCCACTGACTAAATCAACTCTGCCATTTGGCAAAGCCCAGCACAGAAATAACACTTTATTTTTAATACAACAAAAAAGAAATAGACACGAGACACAAAATCATGTAGTACATGACCTATAAAAAGCAGATACTTACAGTTCGTAGGAACTGTATTTCATCTTCCCCTCCTTCACCCCCTTCAGCCATGGCTCTTGAGGAGTCAGCTCTGCTGAGGCTGATCGCCTCCACCGTCGGCTCACTGCGCTCTGTACTGCTCCTCTCCTATCAGTATTAGCATATAGCTAATCCACAGCCATATAGGGAGCTCAGCTAACTCCACTGCACTGCAGACTGTCAGTCAACCCCCTCACTGCCAGAGCCAACTGCGCTGCTGACTTTCCAGCTCCTAGCAAGCAATCCTCTCCCTTTTCTCCCTACCCTGGAGGCAAAACCCCCTACGGTTAAGGTATTGCGGGAAGCATTATATGCATCACTAGGTGTTGATTTTTTTTACCCTCCAGATACTGTCTGGGCAGAATAACAAAAATGGTGAAGTGTTAACAAAAGCAGAGCTTGAGCTTCCATTTTCACAGATAAGGATAGCAAATTTTGCACTGAAATGTATCAAATTCAGCAATTCTGAACCTACTGATTATGCAGCAGAAGGATGTAATCCTGATGATCGCAGGACAAGCACAGTTTGACAGCAGGTATTTTCAGCTTGCTTACAACAATTTCCATTTCTTGCTTCTCTGCATAAGCAGCTGCAAATCTGATTTCCAAGATGACTTTATGATCTGAACCAACTATGTGTAGTTATTTGTGCTATCTCTATACATGGTATTTGTACCTCTATCCTAGGGGCTTCAAGGGATTTATCTGTATCTTTTTAGAACTACACCTGAATATTTTTCGAAGATGGTAAATATTTACTTCAGAATCCATAAAACACAGTTTTGTTACAATAAAACTTAAAATAACTTTAAATTCTAGTTCAATAATGAAAAATTTTGTCATTAATAAAAATTGCTATTTATTACTTCAATATGAGCAGATAAGGAAGGAAAAAAATAGATCAACACTAGAACAAAATTTAATTAAGTGAAGGGAGGAATAAAAAGGACACAAGGAAGCAGAAGAAAGCACTGAGGAGGCTCTAGCCAACCAATTCACTGTGTGATCTTGAATCTTGTGAGAGGACTACAACCACAGCTTACCTCTGAGAAGAATTACCCAAACTTTGTGTAGTCCCTATTTATCTTGATACATTCTCTCACAGAATACCATAGGCATACAGTTTTTTTCTCAGTAAGAACATATTTATGGTTTACAAAGGAAAACCTAGGTTCAAAAAGGGAACAATATCTTTCCTGGGGTCACAAGGATGAGTGTAGCATACTGAAAACTGAAACTACATATTCTATGCCCACAAGCTAATAATTTATGGACAACTGTCCTCTGGACATGGAATCCAATGCACACTGCCCTTCTGCTCCCCAAATTAATTGTATTCTGATTTTGCACTAATTAAAATAAGCATAGTCACAAGCCAGAAAATTAGATGCTCAAGATTTTCTCTTCTTGATGGGCAGAACACTTTGAAAAATGTTTTATTTCAATCTGTCTTATTACCCTGAGAAAATCCATCCAAAAAATAATGCCAATCACATTACTCAGCAACAAGCAATTTCAGGTCAAAAGTGACTCAGAAGTCTTTAGTTGGTATAGTCATACTGGCTCTCCCTGCCACTTCCTTTTCCCCACCCTGCAGTTTTTCTTGGTTGCTGTGAGGAAGAAAAAGAGCTTTGTGCAAGGCAAAGGCAATGTGGCAGAAAAATATTTCTCTGAAGTGCCAGAAAACTAATATGGTTGGCATTTGAACATCCATTTTTGTGTCTGGGGCTTTTTTGTGGTGTTTATTTTAACTCCAGCCATCTTTGGATCAGCACTTCATCTCATTCCTCATCAAGAAAAAGAACATACCATAACAGATCTTCCTTATGGAATACTGTTATTCCAGGGAAAAAAGAAATCTGAGAAGTAGGGAAAATTTGCCCAAAAACAAAGCATGCCACTCAGTGATTTTACTAAAAAGAGTAGACAGTGAGGCCTGCTATGACACATGCTTATCCATACATTTATATTCTTTTCTAATTTACATTCTAGCAGAAAGTTTCCTTGACCAGAGTAGGTGAAGCCAAGGGTGTTTGAACTAGATTATTTTTTAAGGACCCTTCCAAGCCAAACCATTCTATGTTTCTATTATATGCACAATGGATTTGATGCAGGTATTATTTCATGACAAAACCTACACATGTAAGGACACCTTTTCTGTAACATCTTAAATGAAACAGTCTTTCAAGCATACTACTTTACTTTGAAAGATTATAAGCAAGAAATAACTAAAAATAAGCACGACTGCTAAATTTTCTTCACAAACAGAAATCAATGTCATTTAGTATATGTGCTGGCCAAATTTTATTTCAGATATGCAAGAAGATTTCCAGATAGTAAGTTCTGAACATGCAAAGCTGAGATTAATCCACATGAATCAAATGAAAAGGGGAAAAATATATAACTTTTCAACTCCTTTCCTCATATGTTGGAGTATTCCATTAAAACACTTCCTATGAAATGAAGAAAATTTAGAGTAAAATGTTAATATACATAGCTATGGATATCCATGTCTGCAACTCCTAGTAAGGCAGATGGAAAGGGTGCCATTTTTTTTTCCTTTAAGTGGACATCAACATGCTAGGATATTTCCTTTAATTTCTTTAAACAACAGACAAAGCATATGAAAAAAGGAATATTGGGAATACATTAAGCATTATAACAGAGACTAGGTAAAATTCTGATTCATGTCAAACCAGTAGGTTTGGGTTTTTTTATGTAAATTCCTCTATGGTTTGATACTCATTTTACAAAACATCCCCTGATTGTTTTGGGAAGCAATATCGTGCCATTTAAACAATATCATAAACAACATAAACAATATTTTTGTTAGATTTCATCTTTTTAAAATCATCAACTGTAATGCAAAACCATTGCACAGCGCTTCTGCTCCCTAGATTTTTTTTTTTTCTGCTGTATGTTTAAGGAGAAAATTATTCACCTACTACAGTATAATGAGATCCACATCTTTTCAAGACATATTTTCTGTCTAGGACTTCCCCATTGCTCTAAGACTGAGATTTGACTGTAATGATCACATATTGCATACAGGGTGTATATATACGTGTGTATATCTATGTGTAGATGTATACACACACACACACACACACACCCATTCACAGTCACTCTGCTTTATATGACTGTAAAGTGCAGCATTTTGCTGTGAAAGCTACACAGGTCCAATAATCTGAATTGTGACCACTTGTGTGTTTCATGATACTCTACTCATCCCTATCAATCCCCAATCTTTAATTTAGCACTTTTGCTCCTAAACACACTCTGGACAGAGTTCATGGTACTTTTAAACTATCAGAAGGACTTGTCCACAAGCCAAATTTAAGGAAAACTTCCTTTCAGTTTTCATTACAACCATGTAGCCTGCTTATCCTACAGCATAAGCTCTCCCCTCACACTGAAGGATTCAGGCTGACTGACTCTTCACTTGTCCTTGATTGTAGAATAGAATTTTTATAGTAGCAGTAGCCTGACAATACAATAGTAAGATGGATATTACAAAACAAAATAAAAAAATCTTCACTGTGTAAAAAATGAATATCTGAATAATCTGTAAACAACTTCTGTTGTGGGCATTTTACCTTTATGAAGATTGACTTAACATGCCCAATCAAAAATGAATCAAATACCAAGTAGAAGATATTTGCAAAACCTGCAATGGTAACACATGCACACTGACACTTTGAAAAGTACAGGTAATACCAGTTACCAAAGAGTCAGTTGGGTGAGGAATCAAAACTATATTTTTCGTGCCTCCTAAGTAAAAAAAAAAAAAAAAAAAAAAAAAAAAAAAAAAAAAAAAAAAAAAAAAAAAAAAAAAAAAAAAAAAAAAAAGCATGCTCAAATACAGGTTTTAAAATGCTATTAAAAGTAAAAAATTGTTTTATTTACAAAAAGTCACAAGAATATTCAAATTCATTATGTTGACTATCTTCAGCAGTCAGCTCCTTGTTCAGTTCACAAATGTTAGGAACATAAACAGGTGAACATTTCATTCACCAAAGAGAAAACTACTTCTGTGAATAACTAATGAAAAGTTCTAGTTTTGCTTCTGGTGTTTTTTGTGTTGTCATTTTGTCTTGTTACTTGGAGTTTTCTGTGGTTTTTAGGTTTTTTGGTTTTTGGGGGTTCTTTTGTTGGTTTTTTTGTTTGGGTTTTTTTGTTTGGTTGGTTGGTTTTTTTGGGAGGGGGAGCTTCTTTTTCATTTAACCTAGATGAACTGCATTTAATTTTCATGTGGAAAATGTAAGATCTTGGTTAAAGATTTCCTCAACTTTTCAAAAAAAAAAAAATTGATGCCATTCCTATATGAAACTGTCAAGTGTAATATGTAATGTTTTAGAATTCATAACATAGTATCAATATTGCTTGTAAGGCCTAATTCAGTGGCTTTTTAAGCTAATTCAGCGTAAAGAACAGTATCTCAAAAGAGATACTCAAAAACTCATTCCCCAATGATCAAACTTTTATGTTAGATTGCCATCTGGTGGTAAAGTTTAAAAAAGATTCTGTGACTGGGTAAACATAATATTATTTTAGCCTAAGATATTGGGTGTCTTTCCAATTTTACTATATATTATGTGATACACTGGTCCACAGTGGACCAATCTCCCTGCTGAAGCAAGGTCATCCCAGAGCAAATGGCACAGGATTGGGTCCCGGCAGTTCTTGAATATCTCCAGCGAGGGAGACTCCACCACCTCTCTGGGAAACCTGTTCCAGTGCTTGATCACCTGCACAGTAAAGTTCTTCCTCGGGTTCAGGTAGAACTTTCTGTGACTCAATTTTTTCCCATTGCCTCTTGTCCTATTGCTTGACACTACCAAGAAGAGCCTGGATCCATCCTCTGACAGCCTCCCTTCAGATACTGATAGACATTGATGAGGTCCCCTCTGTCATCTCTTCCTGAGGCTCAACAGGCCCAGCTCCTTCAGCCTTTCCTTCAGTCCCCTCATCATCTTCAGAGTCCTTCACTGGACCTGCTCCAGGGAGCTCCCTGTCTCTCTGGTCCTGAGGAGCCCAGAAGTGGACAGAGCACTGCAGGTGAGGCTCACCAGGGCTGAGCAGAGGGGCAGGATCCCCTCCCCTGACCTGCTGGCCGTGCTCTTCCCAATGCAGCTCAGGATCCCATGGGCCCTCCTGGCACAAGGACACACTGCTGGCTCAGGGACAGTTTGGTGTCCACCAGCACCTCCAAGCCTTTCTCCACAGAGCTGCTTCCCAGCAGCTCAGCCCTCAGT